CATCTTCTCTTCTATCAATTTGTATAAAAATTCAAGCTCAATCTGCAACAAATGATCTACGGTTATTTTAAACTATCATACTTATTAAAGAAGAAGAGAAGGAAGAAGTGAATATAAATACATGATAGATACAAATCATACATTTGTAATTAACTGCATTAAAGCTTGCTTTACTTATTAATTCCAATTTAAAAATTACATATCACATAGCCGATACATTGTAATTGCCTAATTTGTGATGCAGAGAGTCATGTTACCACAATGTCTTTAAACCTGAATTCTTCTGAAGTGCCAAGTTGGACTAGTAGTTAAGGCACCAGGCTAGAAACAAGGAAATTGTGAGTTCTAGTCTGTAAGATGAACTTAGTGTTATCTTCTTATAAAAGCTTTGTTTGCATCCCAAATCATTCTTACTTCTATACTCTTGTTAAGATTATTCACAAGAAATTTGTTTAACTTATTTTTGCAAACCATCATTTCCATTTCCTTTTTCAACAACATTCAATCTCCATTTGAAAGAGTCATTTTTTCTTTTAAAATGTAAAAGGCCTGGGTTGTAGTCTGAAAAAGTCTTTGGTAACATCTTCATTTTATGAATATTAGTCAGTAAACTCTTAGAGATTCAAATCATATCTATTTTTGAAAAAGATTGATTTCTTTTTTAAAAAAATAGATAAATTTGTTTGAATCACTATGTTTGTATTTCTATACATCAGCAACCTTGAAATTGTCCAATAACTCAAAGAAAAACTTTGGTAGTTTGCTTTGTTTAATTTTAATATTCAGTATTATAAGGGAAATTTCTTTAAGTACAATTACATCTGTATTATCAATTTTCATTCTTATATTAAAATGCTGCAACAGAACTTTAGTCTTTTAAAATTTTGTGCTGGAAGCTAAAACATATGAAGACTAGTTACAAGAATTGGGCATGTCTAGTCTAATGAAAATGATACATGATACCAATAAATATTTGAGGGATTCCTACAAAGATGAGGAGGTCAAACTATTTTCCAAAGCAGCAAAAGGCAAGACAAGAAATAATGGATGGAAACTAACCAAGGAAAGAAACAGCCTAGAACTAAGGGAAAACTCCCTAACAGTGAACGGCTTGCCAGCAAAACGGCTTACCTTCAAAAATTGTGCGTGCTCCATCCCTGGAGGCTTTCAAAAAGAGACTGGACAACCATTTCTCTGAAATAGTATAGGGTCTCCTGCTTGATCAGGAGGTTTGACTAGAAGACCTCCAATATCCCTTCCAACTCTACTATTCTATGTCCTATGTTCTTCCTGACAAAGTTCATAAGGCATCTCTTAATTTTGCATATCATATATTGATCCTATAAACTTTGTCAATCTCTGTGCCATCTTTATCCAATCCAAAATGTTAGGCAGGGACTTAGCAGTCTTTTCTTCTATATCTTTCCCATGGTCTTCTGAAATTTCTCTAAAACTTAAAGAAAATGTTTTTTTCTCAATTCCAATAATTCTAGGTCAGTGATGGTGAACCTTTTAGAGACCGAGTGCTCAAAAATTGGCCCTGCCCCTGCTCTACCCCCTGTCCCACCCCTGCCCCGCCCCTGCTCCACCCCACTCTGCCTGCCCACAGGGCCACTCACCGCCTCCAGGGCCCGCTGCAGATCGCCCAGGTAGCCCAGCAGCACCATGGTGGCCACGCCCTCTGACCATGCCCTGCAGCATCATCTGCATGATAGGACATAAGGGCAGAGTCTTGTCTATGCTGCCTGACTGCCATATCCTTGGCTGTGCTGCTCCTGTGGGCCACAGTCAGGGGCGACTTTCCTCCAGGGAGGCTGCTGGTGAGGAGGGGGTTGTGGGCAGAGGCAAGTCTGGGGCAATGGTATGTGTGCCCACAAAAAGGGCTCCAAGTGCCGCCTCTGGCACCTGTGCCATAGGTTCGCCACCACAGTTCTAGGTTGTCCAAATCTTTCTGTTTCTCTGTTTATAAAGTCTCTCTTACTTTCTAAAACTTCCAATTTGTCATAGATTAGGTTGTACATCTCCAACCAATTGTCCTACAGATTCTACAATCTTAACTTCATCTTTCATATTCCTTATTATTCCTGCAAGTCCTTCTTTCATTTGTAAAAACAGCCATACTATTAGCAATTGTTTCATTTATATCCTTGTCAAATTCTTTAACCATTTATGCAATAAATCTTTTGCAATATCCTTGTCTATAAACTGTTATTATGAATTTCTTTTTCCTCAACCTATTTTTGCGGCGGGGGGGGGGGCTTGGTTGCCACTGTAATCTGTATGGCTCCAAAGTGAAACTATGGGTAATTCTCAATTTATGATCACAATTGAGCCCCAAATTTTGTTTGCCAAACCAAGGAAGTTGTTAAATGAGTTTTGCCCCATTTTACAACCTTCTTTTACCACAATTGCTAACCAAATCACTGCAGTTGTTAAGTGAATCATGCAGTCATTAAACAAATCTGACTTTACTTATTGATTTTGCTTGTGGGCAGCCAGCTTGGAAAGTTACAAATGGTGATTATATGACTTAGGACAGTGCAACTATTATAAATACATGCCAGTTGCCAAACACTTGAATTTTGATCATGTGACTATGATGCTTCAGTATTGTAAGTGTGAAAACTAATCATAAGTTACTTTTTTTTAGTGCCAATGCAACTTTGAACAGTTACTAAATGATTGGTAAGTCAAAGACTACGTATATGTCAACTATATAGTAGTTAAAGGCAAGCTTCACTTATTGTATTTTTTTCTTTTTTTCTATTTTGCCCTTTTGTGTTTTAAATACTTTACTCTCTATTAGCTCAATTAGTAAATACACACTGGCTCACATTATCTTTTTTATTTCACAAAATTCACCAATTATCTATTTTTCTTAATAATAAACTATCAACATTTCCATGAAGGTCCAAACTGTTCTACCAGTTAATTATAATGTTGTCATGATAGAAAATAAAATTATCCTTCAGTTTTCTAAAACTGCTATATCCTTTAGCCATTTAAAACTCTTAAATCACAATTTAAGCTATTTGCTTTTAAGTCAAAATCTTTTAAAATAGTATTTTTTTTCTCTTAATTTTAACAAAAAGGTGATTCACCAAGTGTCTTTATTCTTTCCTGATGGTGAAAAGGTCTCTCTTAAATTGTATGTTAATTATGTCTGTTTAAGAAAGTGAGGCTTTTGTAGGCCAAGTGTCCATCAAGGCCGCACAACAGTTTTGAGCACACTGGTAATCGCTTGGCTCCCAAGCTAATTCATTATTGATTGAAAAAAAATCAATTTATAAGGTTGCCTCACCAGAACCAGCTATCTGGAAACAAGCAGATGATCTCTTGATTTCTTCTTTTCCAGAAAGAATATTGTCGGCCAGAATTATTAGAGAATCATTAAGGATAATATCAAATTAAATCAAGAGAGCAATTAATGGCAGAAGGATATTGTTGTCAATGGTTTTTCCATTTACAATTATTAGAAAGATAGAAAATGGATAAAAAAACATAGCATGGAGCAAAGGAAGACAGAACTGAAGTACAACTGCATACAGATGATAATCAGATGATGATCAGATGATAATTAATTGTTAAAATAGATAAACTTTGATTAAAATTTGAAAAAGCAATAAAAACAGCACTTAGACATTTATATAACTTCACAGTGCTTTACAGTCCTCTGTAAGCAGTTTACAGATCCAGCATATTGACCCCAACAATTTTTACTGATTTCAAAAGGATGGAAGGCTGAGTCAACCTTGAACTGTTCAGAATCAAATTCCTGGAGAGAGCAGTGAGTTAACCTGCAGTATGGCATTCTAACCATTGTGCCACCACAGCTTTAAAATGAAGATTAAAATTAGGATTAATAACAATTAAATAAAAGATTAAAACCAAGAACACGGACAGTACGGAGGACTTTTGTCTCTCACAATCAACCATTTCCATCATAGCATGCCCACATAAGAGCCCCAAGCCAGCCAACAGAATAAGATTTTAAGGCTTTTCTGAAAGACCAGAAGGGTGGAAGCAGATCTCAGTCAGGAGGCAAAATGTTCCAAGGCGTAGGGTCAGGGCAGAGAAGGCACTTCTCCTTTACTAAACAGCTGAATTTCTTTTGCCAAGGGGGCCCAACGAAAGCCTCATCTGCAATGTAAGTGAGGCAGCCAATCCCACTGGAGTGAGACAGTGCCTAAAATAATAATCTGGTCCCATGCAATGAAGGGCTTTAGAAGAAACTGCATTCAGTGCAACTCACTCAATCCTGCAGTCATTCCTTGAAGTGTCACTTTCATGGGCATCTTTTGAAAATCACAAAAAATTGTGGAGAAAACAGGTCAGAAAATACTACTGCAACTACAGTCTATCAGATATTATGGGACTACAATTCCAAGAATTCTCAGTACTTACAGTTTTGAGTTCTCAATGCCTTTGGATCTCAGCCTAAGATAAAGTTTCCAATGGCTTCTCAAACAACAGATGAAAGGTATATGTTTAATCAAAGTTAACTGTATTGTGAAAATAAACAACAAAATAGGGGAATTTTTTTAAAAAAAATAAATACTGAAGCAACTTATGTTTTCATCACCCTTCTTTATTTTAATTATCTGGTTTTTAAAAGCTTATAACCTACTCTTTCTGAGAACTACATTTTATAACTCCCCCACCTGATTTCTTAATTACATTCTTTTGCACAATGTGACTCTTGTATTTTCCTATTAGTTTCATCCCTGATCTCAGAGTACTATTGAACTCAGTCATTCAGTAGAAACAATAGCATCTTCAGTTCCAACTTTCATTGCTGGTTTCTTATTTCACTGAACTTGAGCCAGACCATAGCCATTTGTGAGGAAAAGTCACAGGCATACAAAGCACTACCTTTTCCCAGTTCCAATGTAATGATACTTGATACAAGCAAAAATGGAACAAGAAATCCAACTATTTAATAGGCCAAAATGTGAACTTGCAAGATTGGGATACTGAAGGAAAGGAAGGAGGGGCAGATTGGTCATTACTATTTCATTTGCAAGTGAACACATTGTGTAAATCCAGATAAAGAAGCTGGGCAGGTCAGCTGAACACAAGACTATAAATCACATTCACTTTAAAACATCTGTTTGCCTGGGAAGGATTTTTACTAACACAACAGACCAACTCTGGTGAGCAAAATTCAGTCTTGTTATTTTATTTCACAACTCATCAAATAAAGAGATGGGAAGAAATAGTTCATAGCAGTTTGCTGCACAATATTTGTTAGGCGTGTCTATTATTATATATGAACTCTAATTAAAGTAGGTTTCAAAAGACTAAATTGATTGCAGTAATTTATCCACTATACAAAAATATCCACTATATAAAAATAATATGATGTTCCTTAAAAACTCTGTATGTAATATACAAACATACATTTTAAGGAGTATTATTAAGAGAAATAGTGAACAGTTACTTCTTTAAAGGCTGAAAATTGCGCCTACAATAGTTTGTGAAGCTGAGTATATTTTAACCTAACAATTCAGCTATAATTCTTTATTAACAAATATGTTAAAAGTTTATTATTGCTAATTAAAATTTGGATTTCAATATCACATTTATGGTTTATACTACTCTTTTATTTGTACAGATCTAAAAGGGACTTCCTAAAGCAATTGGAGTTAAATTTATACTAATAATATTTAAGAGGGAAGAAAATATGTATTCAGCAGTGAGCTTATCCTTCATATTACTTGCCATTTCATCCAATTTTGCAATAGCAATCAATAAGGAAAAGCGAGTACCCCAGACCCTCTCTAGAGGTATGATGATTTCATTCTGTTTCTAAATTTCTAAACAGGCTAATTATAAAATAAATTGTGACTCGATTTTCTGAAAATTGTTTTGTAACTAATATTGGACTAGAATACAATGGGATAATACTTCCTACCATCAAAATCTACATTTAAAAAAAAATAAAGTACTAATAGAATTTTACCTCTTTTTGCACACATTGGTGCATTTTAATGCACACTGCCTTACAGAAATGAGCTATGAATCTAAGGTATAGTAGTTTATATTTGTTTTAATATACAAAATCTGTGATAAGTAAAGAAATTATGTTTAACACATTTCAAGATGTTATGGTACAGGGTTTCCTGTTATGTTTCCTGTGTAGAATAGTGTTTCCTGCATGAACAGGGGGTTGGACTAGATGACCTCCAAGGTCCCTTCCAACTATTATTATTATTATCATCATCATCATCATTATCAGCATCATCATTATCATTATCAGCATCAGCATCATATAAAATATATTGAGGACAGTTAAATAGATAACAACTTCATCTAAACCATGAAGCTATTATTCTCCTAGGATGGGGAGATGATATCACTTGGGTACAAACATACGAAGAAGGCCTCTATCAGGCAAAACAAAGGTAAAAATAATTTTAAATCTTTCAGGGGGAAATAGAATATTTCATTTTTGTTCCTGCTCTTATGAACGGAATATTTGTAGCTTGTCAGTGAGTTTTAGTTTATTACTTACAGATGCTGTATTATTCAATGTATTTATCTCATATGATACAAAAACCATGTTTCCTAATACTTATTTTCTTTTTGAAAAAAGTAATAAGCCATTGATGGTTATTCACCATTTGGAGGATTGTCAATATTGTCAAGGTAAGTCAAACCAATTTGATTTAAAGTGAAGATCTGGGGAATGCATTTACAAACCCATGTCACTCAACTGTATTCTTTTATTGTAATATATTTAAGACTCTGAGATCTCAGTCTATAAATCATATTGCTCTATATGATAAAGAAAAAATAGTTGGAAGAAACTGCAAATTTCTAATTAGAATTTTATTTTTGAGAATTGAATATTTTAGAATGTTTCAGATATTACTGCTAAAGGGGAGAGTGCAAGTGAGGATGGTGCTGTAGGCTGGAGCTTTATTTTGCCGTATGCCAACTATATATTTATTATTAAAATAATATGTTTAAAAACTCAGTTGGGGCTATGAGCCTGGTAGGCACCAGGGGACATCTCAAGCATATTATTAATGACCAGTGCTTTTTTTCTAAAAAAAAAAAAAAAAAAGGTGCCGGAACTCACACACGTCATAAACACGCCTTGCCTACCCTATAAGGTTCTATCCCAAAAAAGTGCCGGAACTCCGTTGTGGGCGTTCTATGAGAAAAAAAGCCCTGTTAATGACTATCGGCACCATATTACTAATCACTGAATTAAAAATTATTTTAATTTACAAAATATGTCTTCCAGATATATGCTGGTATAAATAGATCTCATTTTCAAAATTAAATTATTTTAAGCAGAATCCCTTTACATTTATGAAAAAATCTCGATTACACATAATTCTGCTAAATGTAAATAAAGATACATTAGCTCAAGCAATGAGTAAAGCAAAATATATAAGATGCCTATTCTAATACATATTTCCCTTGTTCAACCAAAGCTAAATATGTGCAAGGTAGATTACATTAACAAACATGAAGTTATCTTAAGTATTGACAAAACACATTCAACATGGTTCTGTTTTTCTCATGTAACCAGCTATATAGGTGTACAACTGAATAACATTTATCTCTGAAGAATTCACTGAGAATAATGCCCTCAATATCAATTTAAAAAGAAACCCTTCAAGGCGACAGATTTAATTTAAATTGTAGGTAGTCTCCCTCATCTTATCATTGATGCTAAGTAATATTATCACTGCTGGCAAAGAAGATACTTAGGAGTTTCTGTCTCAAAGTCTGTACAACAACCATCTCTCACTTCAACAACTTCTAGTTCAATGGACTGCAAAGAATTGATGTAACATGTCAGTATAGAAAATGTCAGACATCCACTATAAAAAACTTGCATCTTATCTCTCTTTAAAATAACAGTTGTATTTCATTTTATGCAGCATTAAAGAAGGTCTTTGCAGGAAGTCAAGAAATACAGGAGATGTGTCAGAATGATTTCATCATGCTCAACCTCATGGTACAGAAATTTAGATATAGATATAAATTAAGTAGTATTTGAAAGTAATTAGGTAAAGACATGGAAGGTCTTTACTCTTTAGTGAGGTTTTAAGACAATTTAATAACTATGCCAATTTAAAGATTTTCTTTTGGCAGCATGAAACGACTGATAAGAACTTATCACCTGATGGACAGTATGTGCCTCGAATCATGTTTGTAGGTATGTATTAGGCCTGGTGCTTCGCCTCTGTAAAATACAGCTTTTGTTAGTTACTGGGGCCAGACAAGTGTTTCTTTTCTGAGAAATGCTACTTGCTTCTGTACAGCAGCTGAAATACAAAATGGAATTTCAGTCTACTAATATTTTTATATGGATGATACAGAGTTGAAAGAAATCAATCCATTCTATGGAAATGTACATGTAGAATCATGGGATAATGAATGGATGTCCCAGTTCAGCTTTTCCTGACTTGATGCCATTCAGATATGCTACGACTTCAGCTTTTAGAATATTAAGCCAACATGGCCCTTACTCTGTTGGTTTGCACTTCTGGAATTTTATTTTTGAGTAGCATTCCAGAGTAAGATTAAATCCCTCATTGATCAAAGTCTTAGTCTTCCTCAGATAATGAACATTTCCAACCTGCCTTATTTCAGTCTTGTATAATTTTCCATAGTAATGAGGAAATTATCATTGTTACTTTATAATGCACTTTGAATGTATAGCTGATTCTTTTACATTTTTCATTTGAAATGCATGAATATCATTAAATTAGTGAAAAGCATCTTCTTGAAATCTGATTGGTGCTTATGTATTAGTATGACTTGACTATTGCAATAATTTTTTATTGCTTTTCCAGATCCTTCTCTCACAGTAAGGGCTGATATCACTGGAAGATACTCAAATCGATTGTATACTTATGAACCTCAAGACCTATCTGTGTGTAAGTTTTTCCTCAGTGGGTTGTATTTAGAATAGTAATATTTACAGGACTGTTTTCTCAAAAGTACACTAATTGCATGGAGGATAAATTAAGTAGCACTTGCTAAGATGCATATAAAAAGTTTAATTCAGTATTACATCAAAATAATGCAAAAGGCATATAAACTAGATATTTTGGAGTTCATTTCCATCAGCCTCCAAAAACAGAGACTGGGGAATGTGGCAGAGCCAGTGCAGTGCTTATATTGAGTGTTCTTGTTAGATATGATTACTTCAGCTTTGAATGTTATTATTTATTAATGATGTTTTTATGTGTTATATTTTTTCTTGTTTTTAAATTGTAATATTGCTTTTTTTTCTTGCTTTGTTATTTATTTTAATTGTTTGCAAGCTGCCCAGAATCATAAATATAAATTTGAAAAACAAACAAACTTAACCAATAGCAAGATGGCACTAGGCTCAAGCCCAGGGTGTCAAACTGCCGGCCTGTGGGCCAGATGCATCATAGCAAAACCGCACCCACCCAATTGCCGGCACTGGCAAAAAAGTTGCAATATGTCGCAACACATAACCTGATGTTGCGAGTTTGATCCCCCTGCTCAAGCCCATCAATCCTAAATGTTTTTTCATGGTTTACCAAGTCCCATCAGGCTCCCTGAAAAATGCATAAAAAGACACAAAGATGGTACATGATACCATCAAAAGGTTCTACCACCATGCAAAGTAGTAGTGTTCAAGAATACAATTTTCTTGCTGTCAAAATCAAGGAGAGACTTGGATAGATCTCCCATTCTCTGCAGGGACCTTTGCGCAGCTTGTCAGATAAAAGTGGAGGCAGAACAAACTGGCTCTGTTGAGTGCAAGGAGGGTTTTTTACATGTATTTGTACTTGACTGGGTTGGGCTCATAAATTTGGAGGATGGTTTTATTTTGTTTTGCTCTACCGTGCAAAGAAAGTTCAGCTTTCAGGATCATAAACCAAGGCAGGAAAAGATAACTAAAACTGGTTAGAAGGCAAGATTTCAATTAGTCACTCGTACATATTCTTACATCAGCAAGGAGCAATAAAAAGTGAAGTAGACAGAAATTGACAAAGCATCCATATGTTTTACAATAAGAGGCTCCCTTGTTTTAATATCATGGTTTGGGACACATTTGGGTTTGAGGCACATTTAATTTTTATTTTTTAAAAATATGTTCTAAGACAGTGGTTCTCAACCTGTGGGTCGGGACCCCATTTGGGGTCGAACGACCATTTCACGGGGCTCGCCAAACAAGGCTGTCCGCCATTTTTTCCCCTTTTCTTTGGCCATGCCCCTGGCACCCGATGATGTATAAGTGGTTGGGGGTCACCACAACATGGGGAACTGTATTATGGGGTCACGGCATTAGAAAGGTTGAGAACCACTGTTCTAAGATATGTAGGATTTTTAAATTTGTGTCTGTATGCAGCCCTGCATGAAATTATAAAAAATAGTCCTGATCCAAATATATGCTTAAACGGATCAATTAGAAAGTTAGTGAACTGAGAAAAATCAAATCTAGATCTAGACAATTATCCCAAAGTGAGTAAGGTCCAATTGTCTATAGAATTAAATTGACCATATCCAATCAGCCATGCTCCATGATTATAGAAACCAAGATAATTGTTTTGCCTACTTAGTTCTCAGAACTGGGGAAGAAGAAGAGTTAAAAGAGCAAGATTCTCCATTGGATAACTCACAATCAAGTCCTAGTAGCACCAAATTTACTTCCTAATTGCCTAAAGCAGTGGTGGCGAACCTATGGCACGTGTTCCAGAGGTGGCACTCAGAGCCATCTTTGTGGGCACATGTGCTGTTGCCCCACCCCCCTTCCCCCATGCCCCCCCTGGAGGAGAGTCGCCCCCAAGCATGGCCCACATGGAGCAGTGCAGCCAAGGACATGGCAGCCAGGCAGCTTAGACAAGACTCTGCCCTCACGCCCCATCATGCACAGTTGATGCTGCAGGGCGCGTGCAGAGGGAGTGACTGCCATGGCGCTGCTGGGCTGTCTGGGTGATCTACAGTGGATCCTGGAGGCAGTGAATGGCCTTGCAGGCAGGCAGGGTGGGGATGGGGCAGGGGGTAGAGCAGGGGCAGGGCCAGTTTTTGGGCACTCAGTCTCTAAAAGGTTCGCCATCACTGGCCTAAAGGATCAAAAGAGCACCTTTTCTTGCCTACCCGGATCCCAAGAAGACAATAGTGATTTAATAAATCTCTTTGCTAAAGGGAAATAGGTTCTTCCTGGTGAGGCAGAGTCTCCATAAATGGTAATTTTGACTAGTTAGTAAGATTGTGTGCTGCTAGAACCACCAATACAGTAATTTTATTGGGTTATTGACTGACTGAATTTAAGCATGTTGGCTTACGGGCCTGCTCTACCATTAACAGAGTTAGGTAGCTAACTTCAGTGTCAAATGCTGAAGTGGGAAAGCAATAGAAGCATTTAGCAAGGCAGAAAATAAATAATATAATAAAAAATAAAATTCAAATATAGAAATTAAAACCAAATATTTAGCAAGTGATGTATTTTGATTGCCTTTCTAAATAAAAGGACACAGGAGGCAAGGACATCTCTTAGAGATTGCATCCTTAATCTAGGAGCAATCACTGGAAACTATGCCCAGCAAGTAACTGGCGTCGCAGTAGAGATATTTCAGTTTAAGAATTGTATGATCCCAGAACTTGAAATTCTTAGCAGCCTAACTGCCAACTTTTAAACTCCTGGCATTACTTGTTTGAATAAGCTCTTCCTTCAGCCAAATCTATCTATTAGGGGTGGTAATGCTACCTTTTTAGATCATTTGCTGCCTTCAGATGTAATAGGTATCAATTACCTGTTAACTGGTTTACATAAATGGCATTGAAGGCCACAGGATAGGCTACCTTGGCCATCCTATTTTGGGATGTTATTGAATGTTGTAAAAAAGTTACAATAGCTATTTATTTTCATAGTGAAAATTATTCATAGTGAAAATTTAATTATGATTAAATTTCATAATTATTTTCTGTCATCTTTCTTCTATTATACTATGTTTCTTTCCCCATAACTTGACACTTTTTAATTTTTAAAATATGTTATAAATATTTAAAAATGAAATCCCTGAAAATTAAAGAGATTGGATCTATCATTCTCTCCTTTTCTTGAATTGCAATGCCTACAAATCACTTTACTATCTTTTTTTCCCCCAGTAATTGAGAATATGAAGAAAGCATTGCGTCTCATTCAGACTGAATTGTAAATGAGTGCTGTATTAATGATCACAACAGAAAAAAGAAATGTGGACCAAAAAAAATCATTTACCAAAGTTGTTCAGTTCTCTTCTCCCTCTTTGAAATGTCATCTACTAACTTTGCAAGTTCATTTCACATCTGCTAAAAAAAATTAATAGTGCCTGTAATAATATAAGAATTCAGTGACAAAAAATTGATGTTCATCAAGATACTTCTCTCCTTGAGATTTTATACAGCAGTGAAGAAGAAATACCCCAGGAGATTTCTTCACATACTGAAAAATCTCTTATGCTAAGGATACAAGTACACAGATTTAGTGAAGAAATTGTGTTTTATTGCCTTTCTAAATATACAGTATGTGTCTGTTTAGACTGCATTAATGCAGTTTATACTACATTAATGAAGGCCACTACAAACCTCAGCAAACAAGTTCTTTTCTGTATATATTGTTGCTAGAATTAGAGATGCTTCTGTTCCATATATCTCCTGAATTCATAGTCCCCTGATACTTTCAATTATAGAAGTTCAAATGGAGTGAATCAATATAATATAGCAATTAAGGGGTTGAATTGAGACTTGGAAAACCTGGGATCAAATCCCCATTTAACCATAGAGTTTATTGAATTAGGGCTAGACTTGGGCTATATTGCTCAGCCCTGCTTATTTCACTAGGACATAGTGAGGATGATGTGAGGGGTGACTATATTTGTGATGCCTTAATCTCCTTAGGGAAATATGAACAGCAATGCTATATCAGTTAGAACTCTCCGTTTTGCAATCCTGTATAGAAAAATACTATAGGATAGGAAAAAAAAGTAGTCATTTGCTAGAATGCAAGAACAAATTGATTCTTCATCAAGTTCCATGGGAAGGACTCAGTAATAATCAACTTATATTTGAAGCTCTGAATATGCTGCAAATGACTGAATGAGCTGGCCAAAATACTGCCAGTGTTTTGTAGTTTCAAGAAATAAATAAAAAAATCTGCAGTCAACTTCTCCACTTGCTTTTTTTATCTCATATTTATCTCTGTACAGTGTTCTTTCAGTATGAATACAACATTGCCATTGGCATATGTGCTATAGTAAAAGAGATGTATCAAGCCTTCTGTTCCCAGCCAAACCAAATGCCCATGGAAATAACTCTTGTATCCCAGCAACTTGCATCAAGATGTACACTATTTCTGTTTCTATTGCTATTAATAATATATGGCTATGCCTATCAATCATGACAGAGACTTGGATATGAACCTGAAACTGCATTGGTCACTACATAGGATGGATGACTTTGGCAGGTCTGGGTTAGAGAAATTTTGACCCTCCTAGGTCTCTTGACAGCTTTTAATATCTCTTTGTACAGGGCTGCTATATAGATGAGAAATAGACTTCCTCATCTTGTGCCCTCAAGGATATACAGTTCTCAGAATTCCTGTTCAGTATGCTCACCAGGAACATTTCCAACATTTCTGGAAAGTATCTCATTGGGAAAAGTTAATGGCATTAAATTCTGCATTCCCACCTCACCACCACTGAGTGGCATCACATGCACATCGAGTGTGTTTCAAGCTAAGATTTCTGTAGAAACGGCATTACCTCTAATTCTTTTTTTCTAGGCACAAGCAACAAAATGATTGGATTTATTCAACCATTTCTCTTGCCTCCAGGATATTTATTCTTCTATTATTATGCTAGTTGTTTTATTGTTCATTGTTCTAACTTTTCCCCAACCAGTACTTGAACCCACATGAAGCAAATGTTGAGGCTTTACAAACTAAGCCTCTGAATTTTGCATATAAAGGAGCAGGCAAGGTAGGGAGCAGGCCTGAGATGAAGGATGAGATAGTAGCTGACTGTTACTTTAGTGCTAGCCATGGGATAGTAAGCTCCACTGCTCTTAAGGGAAGATGCTGGCTTAACTCTTTTCAACACTTAGCCATTGGTGTCCCCCCTCCCTTCCACAATCACTCTCTTCTTATGGTAAAACTGATCCTGAAAACAGAAGGAACTTGAATTGCAATGTCAAAATAAGTTGTAATATTAATAGATTATTCATGTATATCTCTGTTTCTACGTATATTTTGTGTCTGTGTGAGAAAGACGGAGAGACAGAGGCCTTAATATTTCTATTCTTCTAGGTCTTAATATTTCTATTCTTCAAATTACTGATGAAATACAGGTAGTCCTTGCTCAGCAACTGCCTCATTCAGTGACCATTTAAAGTTAGGATGGTGCTGAAAAAAATGTCTTTACAACCAATCCCATATTCACAACCTTCTGAGCATCCTTAAGTCATTTGATTGCTATGATAGTCAATCACATTGTTCTGTGCTTGACCTATTATGTTTTGACCTATTCTTTTTTCTGTCTTGAAGTGTGGCAAGATGGGAGACAAAGGGATTACAAGGGAGTAAGTAGACACCAGGCTATTTGTATAGCGTGCTTAAAGCTCCATCTGCCAGCATATTCCTTTCAATGTGTATTCCCCATTGTGTGACCCTTACTCTCTTGTAATCCTTTACTCTCCAAGGAATGCAAATGCAAACATAATTCCCTTCTGCTACCTCCATCGATATTGTCTTGATCATTTGCAAAGAAACTATCACCACCCTGAGTCTTCGCTATATGGAATAGCTATCCAACTTCCATTCCTCTATTGCATTTAAAACTTCTTGCTACTCAGTTTACTACCACAATCATACTACAATATCACAATCTATGTGAATATGTTGCCGTAGCAGCCGGAATGATGGAAATATATTTGAACCAATTAATGTGAAGAGCTGTTATAATTAAGTAAAGATTGCTTGTGAGGATGAAGAGAGAAAGTTTCTGGGGAAAAAGAAAACTTTCCTCCCAGATCTCACGTTGTAATAATGCAGTGATGGAGTTGCTGCAACTCTAATACACTTGCACTAAAGCAAAACCTTGCATTGATTAGGCACAAGTAGAAAAAGAATTGCAAAAAAGCATAGGAGAGCAATTTCTACAAACAGAGCTATAGAAATAACTTGCAACAATCTTATAATGTAATCATAAGTATTAGCTCATAAAAGCTAAAAATATTGTTTTCAGTTTGCAAGGACAATAGATAATAGGTACAAATATTAGGAAAGGGTACAGCTCTAAATATATTTCTAAGGGATTTTCCATCCATGCAAAGAACCAGGTAGAATGCAGTATTGCAGATAAATTCTGCCCACAAGCAGGAGTTCAATTCAGCCTTTCATCCTTCTGAGGTTGATAAAACGAGGACCCAGATTGTTGAAGCAATATGCTGACATTGTAAACTGCTTACAGAAGACTGTAAAACACTGTAAAGCAATATATAAGTCTAAGTGCTATTGTTATTCAGTACCATTTGAATCAACATGCAGGATATTGTGTACCAAAAACAGAATACAAGGGCAAGAATTTTTGCAGAAGAATTCTATAGGGAATTCCATACAGCAGCATTGTGCCTCTTTGTTTCTCCTCTAGCATTGCCCTTGAATAGTTAAACCAGAGGTTCCCAACATTTCCAGTCTGGTGGCCCAGCCTAGCTCAGGAGGGTTGTGTGAATGGCAGGTACAGATCCATTTCTGTGAGTGGCATGCATGCGTGCCCTCCACTTACACAAATAGAGCTTTGTGCATGAGCAAAGGGTACTTGCATCCACATGCAAACCTCCACTCTCATAAGCAGAAGATGCTTGAGTGGAGGCACTTGTGCTCGCATGCAGAGCTCATGCAAATTTCAAACAGGCTGTGGCTCAGTAGTGGACACAGCCTGGGGCCTGGAGACCCTTGAGTTAAACCCATTTTTCATTCAGCTCATTTGCCCCAAACCTCAAATCACAAAACTTCCATGATGAAATTTGGCATTGTTTGCTCATTGGGTTGAGGGACAGGCAATAGATGAGAATTCCTACCCATGCCTGTGAGCTTTCTCCATCTTAGAAATGCATTCCTTCTGAGAAATAGAAGTGACTGGTATTGGGAAGAGCCTATTTCATTATGCTATCCTTTAATAACACTTTATTGTCAGATTGGTACTGAAAATAGATACCAATAAACTTCATATTTATACCATGTTGATTTGTATTACTGCTTTTTTACATTAAAAGAAGGAAGGCCACTGTAATAATAAACATACTATTCACAGAATCTATACTTATTTTCCGTAACAAGCTAGCAGGATGCCCCATATTGTTTCAAAATGGTATCTATGTATTGTTTTCACTTCCTTTCTTTCAATTCATAAATTTAATATTGATAATTGTTCACATGCTTTTGCTTCTTTTATTGTTCTCCAGTCCAGGTATGTTGTTAATTTTCCTTGTACTGCCCATAAATAAAAAGGTCAAGAGAGATAAATTGTACCCTTATTGCTTCAGTATCCTTTGTTCTTATTCACATTATATTTAAGACAATGTATCCAAAGAGCTCTTTCTTTGGGAACATCTGGAACTGTCCTCATATTTTGTACTATTTTTTTCTGAACTTGTTCATCAGCCAGAAACATATTTATTTCTCCACAAAAATGTTTGGGTGTATGTTGGTTTCCATGTTAGGTTCTAAGAATTTTGCACTATTATTTCATTTTTTGGCTTGGGGATCTAGAGTATATTGTTTACAGGAATCTTGTATACTTATTTTAAATATATAAAAGACCAAATTCCTCTCATAGATTGACATCTTAATCTAGAATCCTGAAAAGAACTTATTTCAAAAGATTAAGAGGAAAGAGAAATTTAGGTTTCCATCTCCCCAGCCCTTACATATGATTTCAGTTGTTATCATCCCAACTGCAGGAATAAACACATTTGAAAGGTGCCAGGTTAGAGGGATCCTGCTTCCTCCTTTCCCAAACAAATTTGTGCACATTGTATTTTTCCAGCATTATCAGCTAGTAATCTGAACAGGAAGCAAACAAATTTTAGCTATGTAACTTCAAGCATCTGAGATTCAGAAACTGACGGAACAGGTCTCTGGCTGCATCCGCCTTCAGCAAGAAGGGTGGAGGCTTCCTTAAGCAGATGGCAAATGTACAAATTTGTAGAGCTGAATATTTCCCACTGAACAAATATTTGTTTTGTGAGCTGTAACTAAAAGGGAAAAAAAAAAAGATTTACCACAAGACAAAGACTTAGGAACACCTCAGCAGTTAAGCCTCAAAAAGAACATGAAATTCGATAAATGTGTTCTTGATTTATGCTTCATTGTTCTAAGGGTTACATTTCTACGTAAGACTATAAAAGAGCTGTGAGAGGAAAATTCCAATGCTGATATGTCTTAACTTAGGGATCAGGTTAATGGGATACATTGTCTTTAAATGGGCATAGCATTTTGCAGATAATTTGCAAAGAAAATTTAGAAAGCTGGTCCCAATTAAAATCTGTTTTGCTTAATTCCAACTATGTAGTCAATATGGACCTTCTATATTAAATCTTGTGGATATTACTCTGGGTAGTATGCTGATAGGAGTGATGGTTGTTAGGGGGAAAAAAGATATATTGATCATGAACATGTCATAAAAATAATCCTAGATTTACATACTTCTGTCAGATACCATAACATCGGAGTCATTATTTTGAGGCCATTGTGGTTTGCTGCAGAAATTGCTAGACATATCCACTCTCCATTAATACATCACATTGAATAGTCCTCAACTGAAAAAAATCTACCACACAGACAGAGAATTACTTGTCAAAAAACTCCAGGGCCAAATTCCCCCCAGGCAAATAACATAATCTTTTAGATGATTGCCATAATGTTATAATAGCATTTACTACAGTAACCCTTTCAGTTCATCATTATAGTGACATGGCTCACATGTCATAATTAAGCATTTAGCTACATTACAACAACCACCAAATCAAAATGTCTAGTTAGAAATAATCCACAGATATATGGAAGATATTGCAATTTAGCATTATATATGAATCCACTATTTATATTGATTGATGCTAGTTTACCTGAATGTATTCAAACTGCTCCTCGTGGTACTTTTTCTTAAT